TGCCAGAGCGAAGTGCTCTAATGGGGTGATATGTAGAGATGGCACGATACCACTTTTTTATGTCCGATTCCGATATCATAAAGTTGGATATCTGCCGATACCGATATGAATCCGATATAGCATATTTTATGATCAATAAAATGTTTTTTTAAATATCTTGCTGCATTTTGTATAAGTTCATACTCAAGTTAAAAACTAAACTAAACTAAAGCTATTCTGTTACACTTGTATGCAAAAAACACACTGCACCCAAAATATTTCATAGTTCAGCAAAACTGATCAATCTAATAAACTTAAACCTACACCATCCTCCCTATTCTGGTGTTTTAAAGAGTACTTAGCAGAAATATTAAACAACCTAACTAACAGGGCTGCAAACTCCCAGCAAAAGAAAAAAAATAGGGAACCACCCCCCACCCTCATGATGCTTAATCGACGTAATCAACTTTAATTTGATGCACGTATAAAAAAACAAAAAACAGAAATCAATAATTTTTCAAGAATAATTAAATGGATTGAACATCTTTCTTCAACAGAACTGCAGACTGCACAGATGGTTCCCAAAGGAAAAAGTACTACAGCTTAGTAGGTTATAAGTTTGACTGAACAGTTACTATATACAGTAATGGATTTCCATACATTTTACATCAGATGAAAACTTTGGTTTTAAGATTCAGATAATTATTTATTAAAAGCTAGAAATGACAGTAAGAAAGAAATGTAATTTTGGGCCCCCCCCTTTCCCTACCTGCCCCCCCAGCTCACAGGTTAGTCTGCTCCAAGCATTTACACGAGGGTCAGTGTTTTTTTGTAGTTAATACGTCACTTTCATAACATAATTGGTGATATAGGTTACAAGCAAGTCTGGCGCTGAACAGAAATTGTCGCGCTATGCTCCTTTGTTTATTGTGCATAAATAGTGAATTGTCCTGACACAATATTGCGTTTCGCTTCTGTTATTATGGTACATTGACAAAAACATATACTTTTATTCACAGGGTAAAACAGTTGTTTTGTATCACTAATTGCCCAGTACGATTACAACATACAGTATTATTGTCACTGCTACATTTCTGTGATGCTACCAGAAATTATTTCCACTACTAATTAATTACCGTTGAGCTCAAAGGTCCTATTAATAAACGGTTAAGGAATGTGTATTTATGACGACGATTTGTGAGACTGGTAAACTTATGATACGTACGATGGTCTTTCGTTCTACATGGTGCATTTCAAGGTCCTGCACCCATCCGGCGGTAAACTGTACCTGGGCTTGTTGCCGTGACCTGAAGTTACTAAACTTCATGAGTGTGTGCACTCACTCCAAGAACCGTATGATTATAAATATGCATATAAATATGCTAAGATGAGATAGCTGACTTCATCTAACTAGCAAATGTTGTCCAGGCTACGTTGGTGATACAGTTTTTTTTAATGTGTATGAAAAGGCACTATATCCCGTATAAAGACCTAGAAAAGCTCATCCACGCCTTTGTAACGTCAAGGCTTGATTACTGCAATTCACTTTATTGTGGTCTCCACTCTTCCCTTTTACATAGATTACAGACAGTTCAGAATGCTGCAGCACGCATTCTAACTAAAACCAGGAAGTTTGCCCACATTACTCCTGTCCTTGCTGATCTGCACTGGTTGCCTGTCAAATATCGTATTCAATTTAAAATTTTGTTGTTTACTTTTAAAATTACCAATAACACTGCACCAAGCTATCTTAAGGAACTTTTAAACCCATATGCTCCTGCTAGGGCTTTAAGGTCATCCACACAGTTACTGTTGGTTCAGCCCAGATCTCGACTGATGGGGACCACCACCCCGGTCTGCCAGTCCACAGGTACTGCCCCTGATCTCCACGCAACATTGCAGAGGCGTGTCAACCAGGACAGCCCTACAACGTCCAGAGCCTTCAGGAACTCGGGGCGGACCTCATCAACACCAGGGGCTCTGCCACCAAGGAGTTGTTTAACTGCCTCAGTGACCTCGCCCCCGGAAATTGGCGGGTCATTCCCCTCATCCCCAGACTCTGCTTCCTCCTCGGAAGACGTGTCAGTGGGATTAAGGAGGTCCTCGAAGTATTCCTTCCACCGCCTGACAATTTTCTCAGTCGACGTCAGGATATTAGGATACCCACCTGTGGCGGGGCGTGGCCTGCGGTGCCGTGCAGAGGAGGCGGACGCACCTGCACGGCATCCGCAATCACGCCCCGCCGAATTAAATATTGTACTGGGTCCTGTGGTTGTGTTGTGATAGTGTTGAGCGGGCAGCGGGAGAGCTGCAGCTCTGTGAGTATTGTGGACAGCAACCGTCAAAGCTTTAATAAAAAGCATCAAAATGCCACTGGGTCTGCCGTGTATGTTTACAGTGGTGCCGAAACCCAGGACGGGAGGCACGGCAGATCCAGGAGTGGGCCAGCAGAGGGAGGACCTGGCGAGAATGGTGGCCGAGCTGGCGGCCACGCAGCAGGAGCAGGCGGCGGTGTGGCGCCGCAGGCGGGAAGAGCTGCAGGACCAGACCGAACGCCACCTGCAGAGGATGGAGAATCTGGCGGCGCTGATCCGGTCCTGCCCGACACCACCGCCACCCCCACCGGCGCTCCCCAATGGCGCTGGAGTGGAGGAGATCCAGTCCGTGCAGGCGCCCGTGCCGGCCCCAGGTTGCGACCAACTAGCACGCAGCCTGCCACAGCGCCTGTCCCCACACCTCGCGTGGGAGCCGCAGGGGCTCTGCAGGGCCCGGTGCCCGTTCCTGCGCCTCGGAAGAAGGCGGCGGAGCCGGCAGCGGTGGAGGCGGCGCCCGAGGAGCCGCTCCAGCCGGGAGAGACAACGGTGGAGGCGGCGCCCGAGGAGCCGCTCCAGCCGGGAGAGACAACAGTGGAGGCGGCGCCCGAGGAGCTGCTCCAGCCGGTAGAGGCAGCGCCGGAGGCGCAGCGAGGGGAGCTGCTCCAGCCGGCAGCGGTGGGGGTGCAGCGTGAGCTGCTCCCACCGGGAGGGGCGGAGAAGCCGCGGGATAAGTCGGTGGTGCACGTGCTAAGGGAGTCCGCGCCACCGAAGCCCGAGGTTAGCGGGGTGAGCAGAGCGGCCTCGCCTCCACCAGAGCCCGGTGCCTGCCGGACATCTGCCCAGCCGCCTACGAGCTGGGGCGCACGACCGTACCAACAGCGCCGCGTCCACCTGCCACGCGGCCGACCTCCGGACCAGCTTCGCCGACGCTGCTGGTTCGCAGGCGGCCACCTGAACTCACAACTCCCCGTCGCTTGGCCAGGGCCCGGGGCGCCGACGGTCCGGGCTGATCCCCTCTCCCGCTCGCGGTGGGGGGAGTACGTTCGGCGGATGGTTCCCCGGCCTCAGTCGGGCGATGGGGGTATGTGGCGGGGCGTGGCCTGCGGTGCCGTGCAGAGGAGGCGGACGCACCTGCACGGCATCCGCAATCACGCCCCGCCGAATTAAATATTGTACTGGGTCCTGTGGTTGTGTTGTGATAGTGTTGAGCGGGCAGCGGGAGAGCTGCAGCTCTGTGAGTATTGTGGACAGCAACCGTCAAAGCTTTAATAAAAAGCATCAAAATGCCACTGGGTCTGCCGTGTATGTTTACACCACCCCAGCCCGCCGCCTCTCACCAGGGGCAACTCCAGACTGAGACAGAGTCCAGCCCCTCTCCAGGAGACTGGTTCCAGAGCCCAAGCCATGCGTAGAGGTGAGCCCGACTATATCTAGCCGGTACCTCTCAACCTCACGCACTAACTCAGGCTCCTTCCCCACCAGAGAGGTGACATTCCATGTCCCTATTGCTAGTCTTGGCAGCCGGGGGTCAGTCCTCCAGGGCCTCCGCTCCTGGCCGCCACCCGGCACACAATGCACCCGACCCCTATGGCGCCTCCTGCGGGTGGTGGGCCTGCGGGAGGATGGGCCCATGTCTCCTCTTCGGGCTGTGCCCGGCCGGGCCCCATGGACTAAGGCCCGGCCACCAGACGCTCGCCCTCGGGCACCCTCCCCGGGCCTGGCTCCAGGGCGGGGCCCCGGTAACCCTATCCCGGGCAGGGTAAACTGTTCCCTCGGTGTGCAAATTTTTATATACTGCAGGAAAAATGAAAAATAAATATTACAATGCAAATTTGCAAAAAGACAGCATGTGCACCAAAATAAACTATTTCCAGCAGTGTAATTTGAGTTCTAAGCATCCTGAAAATGATTCAGAAAAGCAAAAAGTCAAACATGACTTTCAAAAACACCAGCATAGGCTTATAAGGCCCTGAAGGTAAAAAACTACATTTTCCTCGAAAATGACGTCTCTTCCAGTTTCGGGCAGGTAATGGCGGACATGCAATAGTTCGTGCTGACGTCTGTTCCAACCAGGGTAGTGTTATGAACAGCTGATCAGATCGGTGTTTCTGGAATATTATGTTTTTGTTACTGCAAGTGCTTTTTATGCAGTTTTTGCAAAGCTAAATGTGGAAGGAAACCGTGGCCTAGGGCAAGTACAACTCCTCCAAAAATTATTGCGCTAGCTTAAGTGATTCCAGTTCTACAGGGATTTAAAAATAGTTATGCAAAACGGAGCGTTCCCACTCCGACCGGTTTTAAAGGTTATATTTTATGTAATAAATTCTAAAATTAGGTTAGAAACGATAGAAGACAAATGGCACGATAGTCCACACGATATTTATCGTCATATCGCTCAGCACTAGTGGGGGTGCAGTCACTGGTGTAGATGGTGTACAGGAGTGGACTCAGCACACATCCCTGTGGTGAGCCAGTGCTGAGTGACAGGGTGGATGATCTCTGGTTGCCAACCTTGACATATTTTCATCGGTCTGTAAGAAAGTTTTTGATCCATACACATGTGGGGTGGAGTCCAAGTTTACAAGCTTGTCAATAACGATGTCTGGGATGATGGTATTAATGGCCGAGCTGAAATCAATGAAGAGCATCCTTACTGAAGTCCCAGGAGGGCAGTGGAAGTTGCATCTTAAGTTGGACCTGTTTGCCTTATAGGCAAACCTGGTGGGGGTCGAAGCTGGGTGAGAGGTAGTCTTTTATGTGCATTAAAACGAGCTTCTCAAAGCACTTAGCAACTACTGGAGTCAGAGCGATGGTTCTGTAGTCGTTGAGGCCACTGATGGTGGTGGACTTGGGGACGGTGGGATTATTGTTGCTGATTTGAGGCAATGTGAGACAGTGGCATGTGACAGGTAAATGTTGAATAGTCTGGTGAACACAGGAGCCAGCAAGCGCAGGTTTTGAGGACACTCCCAGGTATTCCACTTGGCCAGTGGCTTTGTTGTCAAAGATGTAATAAAAGATTCAAAACCAGAACACAGTTGTGGCGCCGTATGAGAACTCACACTGAGAGGTGTATTTTGACACAAGGTTAATTGCTCAGCTGTGTTGAGCTAAAAGTCAGAGGTTTGTGTCACAAAAGTAGCTGTTTTTATCTAATTCGCTGTGGTAACTTACACTGAATAACCTGGTCAGGAGCAGGTAATGTGTTCAGAGTTTCACTTTAAAAGTGACTGTGCTGTTATACCTCATTCTAATCTGCTGCTAAATCTCTTTAACACTGATTAAATTGTAGCAATTAGAACACACAACACAAGAAAGTAATACAATTAATTTAGATTTGCCACAAGCTAAAGCAAATCTTTTCTTAGTTTTTGCTGCTGTAAGTTTCAGGTCTCTAATGTGCAGTTGTTCCCTTAATATCATCTTCGCCTCTGTCAGTGCGCCCCAGGGTGGCTGTGGCTACAATGTAGCTGCCATCACCAGTGTGTGAATGTGTGTGTGAATGGGTGGATGACTGGATATGTAAAGCACTTTGGGGTCCTTAGGGACTAGTAAAAGTGCTATATAAATATAGGCCATTTACCATTCATAATCTACCCCTCAGGTTAGAAGTCTTTTTAGAGAAAACAGTGTCTAAGTAGAGAGTTTCTAAAGGTTCAGAGTTAAACCACCTTAACGCAGTAGTATACCTGCTGTAACGGTCATTTTTCTCACCACCACGACCGTTTTTTACAGAAACTTGTTGTACACCCACTGTTACGGCGCAGGAAGCCTCTGCATTATTGTCCTGAACAGTCAGATCAGCCTGATGTCTTCAGCTGTCAGACTGCGATGTGATCAATTTTTAATGTTTTTATTTGTTGTTGTTTTGTCTTTTCAGTTTTTTGATACACATGGAAATCTACTGTGTTGTTGAATTAAAGTTAGAATTTTACAATTATGTTATAAACCAAAAATGCACAACAGCTGTTTGTTTTCATTCTTTGTTTTTTATCCACCCAAAACTCAAACATGACGGCCAACCTAACCACTGTGGTGATCACTGAGTAAGGGAGCAGGTTGGCCGTCTATCACAGGTCTAACAGAGACAGAATATTCACACTCACACGTTTGCATGTGTGATTTTAAGTTTGACTTTTTTGATCTCACAGGTAAAACTGTGTTACAGCAGCAGGATGAGAATGAGTAAAAAATGTGCAGTATACAATAAACAACAAATAACAGAGTTAAAATAGAAGTTCCAGGTAAGGGTCTAATACTATGAGATGCAACAGGAATGTAAGACTGGCATTGTGTAAGATACTCATGAGCTAAATAACAACTAAAAAAGTACAACTACATTTGTACAGTCAAAGGGAAACTAGTCCAATGTTCTTCTCACAGTTTCAGTCTCGTAGAGTAGTGATGTGTCGGTTGCGAACGAAACAGCTCTTAGAGCCGGATCTTTGACGTGAAGGACGCGAGCCATTTTTTTTTTTTTTTTTAGAGACAAAGCACATACAAGCTCCAAAACACGTACAAAACACAACAGACGTGCTCCAGGATGCTAGGCACAGTGTTGAGCTTTTGTTACGTAGTGGCTACACAAGCCAGAAAGTACCAATGACCGGATTTGGTGTGTGGTAGTAACAGGTAAATGAACATTTTTTTCTTTAATTATTTGAATATAACTATACACACATGCTTTCATGCTTTCAATTGTGTAATTTAAGTGATCTAGGTAGCTCTGTTTTGGAAGTTCAGTTAACGCTAGAAATGTGTTTTGGAGTTTGTACCTGCTCTGTCTCTAAATAAAACCACTTTTTTTTACATTAGTAATTCCTTTTGTGCATGATTTTATATTGTTGTTAATAATAAATTATTTAAAGCAACAAAACAACCTGAAGAGCCGGTTGGGAGCCGAAAGAGCCGGCTCTCTAAAAAGAGCCGGAAATCCCATCACCACGGTAGAGAAGTAATAATAATAATAATACATTTTATTTGTGGGCGCCTTTCAAAAACCCAAGGTCACCTTACAAAAAAACAAAATTAATAAAAGGAGCAATAGTCATAAAATACATAAAATAAGTTAAAATTGCAAAACAGAACTTGACAACAGAAAATCAGCACTAAAGTGAATAAACCAGTTTGAACAGATGTGTTTTGAGCTGTGACTTAAACACAGGAAGAGAGTTTTTATTTCTTATGGCTTGAGGAAGAGAGCAACTGAAGGCTCTGTTCCCCATGTTCCGAGGGACCACTGTACTATATTTCACTGGCAAATATTGGAAGGACCCACAGAATTTGGTCCTGATGAAAAGTGGAGGAGTGCATCGATCAGACACTGAAATGAAAAATGTAGAAAGAAGAGAGAAAATAATAGGCCTTAACGCTTTCCATCAATGTGATCAAACAAGTAAAGACTGTCATTCTGACTGGAGAGAAGTTTAACAGTGTGTGGCTCCCTCTAGTGGATGTTGTGGAGTATTCTGTTGTCTTTGCTCCAAAGGTTTTTGTGCAGAGTTTTGCTGTTTCCTGTCACTGTGGGCTGCAGAGCACAGTAGTACACAGCAGAGTCAGACAGCTGAAGCTTCTGGATCTTCAGAGGAACTGATCTGATGCTGGAATCCAGTGTGGATGAAAATCTCTCCTTGAACTCCTCTGCTGTGTTTCCTTGATCCCCACTATAGCGCATCAGGATGAATTTGGGGCTGTTGTTTCCATCCTGTTTGTACCAGAAGAGATAATTATTTGTTGTACTGCTGTTATAGAGACAGTCAAGTGTCACTGTGCCTCCTGCAGCAGCAGTCTCTTCTCCTTTTGCTTGCAGCACGTTGTCTTTTTGTGCTCTGCATTCTGTAAAACACCAACAAACAGTATCAGTGTGCTGTTAAAGAATCACGTCAATGTTGATATCAAAGAAACAGAGTTGTGTTCATACCGAGGCACATAGCAGCCAGCAGCACTGAGATGAACAGAGGCGTCATATCTGCAGTGTAGAGTAACTGTGAGCTACAGCAAGTATAAAGAAGCTGTGATCTCTCTGTTTAGTCTTCATCAACACTAAGTTGGTGGATTAGAAGGAGGAGCCTGATCACAGTGACAGGACTCATTCACAGCCCTGTGTTATTCCCCCTGCTGACAGCTTCACACTCAGCACGTCTTTCTGCTGCTCTGCTTTGCTTGGAGATCTTGCAGCAGGAAGTCTATAAAGTGAAATCTATCCGTTGGTAGTTTGATCTACCTCTCCTTCAATGCACATGTTGAAGAGTCCCTGGATAAGACTGATGTTCACAGCTGTTCTTTCTGTCAGCTCCAACCTGTCTGATGGTTCTCCTCTGAGCTCTCTCATCACCAAACTAATGCTCACCGGTTTTAGTTTCACACAATGCAACAATGCTTATGGCAAAAGGATACTAAGTTTAATTTGAGCACTTTAATTTGTTTTTGATGGATCTGTTTTCTCTTCGCACTGTAGCCTTGCTGCTTAGAATCTGTTCATTTACTGCAACGGTGAGTTTAAAAATGTACACATAGGAACTAAAGGCAACACGTGTGCTCTGCCGGAAGCTCACCACGTGACACCAGGCGGAAGAAAACAAAGGAAAGGCGCTAATACCGTTAGCTTTCCACGTGTATGTGCCTGAGCACAGGGACTGTTGTGTTGTTGTGTGAGCTGAGTGCGTGAGCTGCGGCAGCAACGATGCCTTCAGTTCAGTATCTGAGAGAGTTCATCAACGAGCGACTAACTGCTGCTGCTGAACAAATATTCTTGGAGTTTGAAAAAACGATCGTCCAGTACGAGGAAGAGATCGACCGTCAGCGCAGACTGCTGGATATCACCTGGAAACCCCAAATCAAGCTGCACAGGACAGGTGAGTGTCCCTCTGAGGGAGGATCCTGATCACAGCTCTGCGGGACGTTTCTGATTGTGAGGACTTTTTGGAGATGTGAGCTAACAAAGAGCAAACAGAGGACAGGACTGCGCTGTGCTGCATTCAAACAGCAGGCGCTGAAATCAGCCTGGATTTCTCTCCTGATTATTTAGTGAAACAAAGTTAGGATCAGGAGATTTGTGAGTCTGGTTCAGAGGGGGGCCCATGTGCCGAAAAGCCCCCGGAAGAGTCAGGGTTGGACTCGGTCCAGGGCCGTTTCCTCCCCGCTCAGTCCCTCTCTTCCTGTTTGAAATCAGGCCGGATTTAAGCATTTTATTCAACCTGATTTATATAGCACCAACTCAAAATAGCCGCCTCAAGCCACTTTATATTGTAAAGTAAGGGTCCTGTAGTAATACAAGGAAACCCCAGCAATCATATGACGCAATTTGAGTAAGCGCTTTGGTGACAGTGGGACGGAAAACCAACCTTTTAACAGGAAGAGACCTCCAGCAGAACCAGGCTCAGGGAGGGGCGGCCATGTGGGAGTGAGGGGAGGAAAACAGGACAAAGACAGCTGTGGAAGAGAGCCAGAGATTAATAATTAGTAGTTGTTGTAATAATAATCATAATGATGATAATAACGACCAATGATTGAGAAAGCTAGAGATGATGATGATGATGAAGTAAAACAGTGTTTAATTGGAAAGTGTTGGAAACATAATATGAGCTGCAATAATAAAATGTGTTTGGTGATTTATCTGCAGGCTGTTTCTCTTTTAACATCTTTAGAATTTTCTTCAGTTTACTATTTCGTCCCCATTTTTCTATTCAGCACCACAAAACTGTCAGGTGGTTCAGCCGAATTAAAATAAATAACGTCCCTTTGATTGTCTACAATCAAAACCCCCTCTTGACCTTTCTGGGGGAAAGGTCAAGAGGGGTCTGTTGGGATTTAAATATATTGTCCGACTTATTGTCTGCTTATATTGTTTTATGTATGCCAGACCCACACGAGAACTATGTTAAGGGTGACAGGTTGCCCTGGCAACAGACTTTAGAAAGAGGAAGTGCAAAGCTGCACCAGAACTTGTACCATATAAGGAGTTGTTTGTATCGAAACTGGGTCTGACGTGCTGCAAAAATATACAGTATAGCGAGACAGGCCACTGATGCCCCAGACTTGAGCTGGCATTTCTGTGCTAAGTCTGCATTTTCCGGAAAATGCAAAATTAAAGATCATCTTTTGAGTTAGACCACTTTGAGCTTGTCTTTCTTGGCCGTTGAAGAATACAAAGAACTGAATTTAATAATGGACAGTTATAAACATTTTTCTCTAATTGTACAAAACAACGGTTTTAACAAAGGTTTTCGAACCAAAGGATATTTTGCAAACCCAGTCCTCAGTTGGACTTTTTTTTATTTTATTTTACATTTTTAAATATAGCAAAAATAAAATTAATCAGTACACACAATCAGACTGAGCAGCTGCTCAATACACACATTTATTTAAAGGCACGGAGGGTGTGTGAGCCTCTGAAGGTTCCACGTGGTACTTACTTAGAATAGAAATAAGTACTTCTGTCAGCAGCGTGTCTGTGCGGAGGAGGAGGTTCTCCCTGAGCAGCAGCTCTGGAACCAGGAGAGGAGCTCCAGTGTGGAGCAGGAGGAACCAGAACCTCCACAGATTAAAGAGGAACAGGAGGAACTGTGCAGCAGTCAGGAGGGAGAGCAGCTGGGACTGAAGGAGGAGACGGATACCTTCATGGAGTTTGAGTGCAGCACCAACGATGAACACACAGGTATCGCCCAGCATGCAGCAGCAGTGTGTGATTCTCTGCTGGTTTGAATGAACTCTGCATGAACAGATCAGAACAGCATGATCAGAGCGAGCAGATATCCCTGATATGGTCGTCTAAAGTGCACAGCAGCCCCACCTGCGCTTCAGACCTGCTGTTTTCAAAAGGCGGCCAATTGCAGTGAAGTTGGATTAAAGGATAAAGGAGCTAAAACATCATGTTTCAGGATGAGCTGAGGGGCTGCAGCAGGTCCAGTGTGACGGCCTCCTCGCTCACTGTGAAACATTCAGAATCCTGGACGAGCGCTTTTGCCAGTGTCATTAAAACAAAGCTCACTTTATAACTATAAATACATATATATTATTTATTAAAGTGTAGAATATAAATGTTTTACATACTTAGGGCGGCTCGATTATGGCAAAAATGATAATCACGATTATTTTCACTGAAATTGAGATCTCAATTATTTGACGATATTTATTTAACCCTTTAAGACCTGCCATAGAACCAAGTCCGCCAGAGCTTATATTATATTTTTGCATGTTATAGAGCCATTTGTGAGCATTTCAAGTTTCTATACATCAATACAACTGTTACAGCCCATATTTTAATAATATGTCTGCATTAAGTCCATAGTAAGTACATTAATGGCAAAAAAGTGCAATAAACTACAAAAAATTGAAAATTGTTTTTGTTTTTTTTACATATATTTCTACTTGGAGAAATTTAAGAGGCTTATCCCTCAAAACTTTAAATACAAAAAAGTTGCAAAAAATAGTTTACAGCAACAGCAAATTTATTTTGAGTGTCTTCATAGTTTTATTTTGGAGCAAATGTTTGCAATATAAAAAGATTAATGAAAAATGTAAACATCTATGTTTAGTGAACTTTGCAGTGTTGCTCTGTGGTGCAGCTACGACACCGTAGCAACGTTTACACACTGTGTCTACTTGATCCACGTCTGACTCCGTGAACCCATAATGTTTCCACACCACTGAAGTTTTTTTTTTTTTTTTTACCTCTCTTTTCAACCAACGGCAGTCACTCTCCTCTCCAAGTAACTTCTGCTTAACTTTCCGAGCTTCCCTCGGGTCCTCTTAATTGTTGTGATGCGTGTTCGAAATGCAGAGAGGTGCGCTCGATTTGCCACACGGAGCAGCGCGAGAGTAAAGCTTGAGGGAGGGGCTAATAATCGGCTCAGTCATTTTTAAAGATCGTTGAAAGCCCAGATTGTAATCGTGATTAAAATTCGATTAATTGAGCAGCCCTATACATACTCAGTTTTCTTTTATCGAGCTCAGTCCAGACCACACAGCCGTCATGTTGCCACCAACATCGATGACTTTCATGTGATTTCTTTGATTCTAAAGTGTTTGTAGCATTGAAGTGTGTGTCAGTGTGAGCTGTACACACGAGTCAGTGATGTGGTTTCTCTGACTTCGTTCTGATGTTTGATGTGACTCAGCGTCTTCAGTTCACTCTGTTTGTAGCAGACTGACAGCAGGTCTCAGGTCTCCAGGCTGGTTTCCAGTTAAAGTTAACATTCGACTTCTGTAACACAGTTGTGTCATGGACCCAGCTTGACTCACACCCCTGAACTCACTGCACCACCCTCCTCTGCAGCCACAGACCACACCCAGTGTTACAGTGAGTTACACAGCTGATGGAGCTGGGCTGACAGCACCTGTCACCTCCATCATAAACAGTGGGTGCATTTGTTCTGGGGAGCAAAGACAGACTCAGCACAGCCCGTCAGTTTTTAATTTGCTTCATAACAAGCAAAAATGACCTTTGAACTAAACGCTGTGTCGTCTGTCAGAGCTCCACTTCAGTCATGTGTTACATTTACTGCACGGAGAATCTCTCTCTTACACTGTGATAGTTCCATCTGAGGCATGAAGCACAGACGTGTAGCCCACATTAGCACCGTGAACTGTGACGACACAAAGACAGAGCACCGACTGACTGACTGTCGTTTCACTGTTACGCCGATGAATCTCAAATCTACTTTCCTTTTTTTTAAAAATCTACAGACTCTTTAAAAATTGCTGGACTGCCTTGATGACATGAAATCATACAGGGAGTGCAGAATTATTAGGCAAGTTGTATTTTTGAGGAATAATGTTATTATTGAACAACAACCATGTTCTCAATGAACCCAAAAAACTCATTAATATCAAAGCTGAATGTTTTTGGAAGTAGTTTTTAGTTTGTTTTTAGTTTTAGCTATTTTAGGGGGATATCTGTGTGCAGGTGACTATTACTGTGCATAATTATTAGGCAACTTAACAAAAAACAAATATATACCCATTTTAATTATTTATTTTTACCAGTGACACCAATATAACATCTCCACATTCACAAATATACATTTCTGACATTCAAAAACAAAACAAAAACAAATCAGCGACCAATATAGCCACCTTTCTTTGCAAGGACACTCAAAAGCCTGCCATCCATGGATTCTGTCAGTGTTTTGATCTGTTCACCATCAACATTGCGTGCAGTAGCAACCACAGCCTCCCAGACACTGTTCAGAGAGGTGTACTGTTTTCCCTCCTTGTAAATCTCACATTTGATGATGGACCACAGGTTCTCAATGGGGTTCAGATCAGGTGAACAAGGAGGCCATGTCATTAGTTTTTCTTCTTTTATACCCTTTCTTGCCAGCCACGCTGTGGAGTACTTGGACGCGTGTGATGGAGCATTGTCCTGCATGAAAATCATGTTTTTCTTGAAGGATGCAGACTTCTTCCTGTACCACTGCTTGAAGAAGGTGTCTTCCAGAAACTGGCAGTAGGACTGGGAGTTGAGCTTGACTCCATCCTCAACCCGAAAAGGCCCCACAAGCTCATCTTTGATGATACCAGCCCAAACCAGTACTCCACCTCCACCTTGCTGGCGTCTGAGTGGGACTGGAGCTCTCTGCCCTTTACCAATCCAGCCACGGGCCCATCCATCTGGCCCATCAAGACTCACTCTCATTTCATCAGTCCATAAAACCTTAGAAAAACCAGTCTTGAGATATTTCTTGGCCCAGTCTTGACGTTTCAGCTTGTGTGTCTTGTTCAGTGGTGGTCGTCTTTCAGCCTTTCTTACCTTGGCCATGTCTCTGAGTATTGCACACCTTGTGCTTTTGGGCACTCCAGTGATGTTGCAGCTCTGAAATATGGCCAAACTGGTGGCAAGTGGCATCTTGGCAGCTGCACGCTTGACTTTTCTCAGTTCATGGGCAGTTATTTTGCGCCTTGGTTTTTCCACACGCTTCTTGCGACCCTGTTGACTATTTTGAATGAAACGCTTGATTGTTCGATGATCACGCTTCAGAAGCTTTGCAATTTTGAGACTGCTGCATCCCTCTGCAAGATATCTCACTATTTTTGACTTTTCTGAGCCCGTCAAGTCCTTCTTTTGACCCATTTTGCCAAAGGAAAGGACGTTGCCTAATAATTATGCACACCTGATATAGGGTGTTGATGTCATTAGACCACACCCCTTCTCATTACAGAGATGCACATCACCTAATATGCTTAATTGGTAGTAGGCTTTCGAGCCTATACAGCTTGGAGTAAGACAACATGCATGAAGAGGATGATGTGGACAAAATACTCATTTGCCTAATAATTCTGCACTCCCTGTAGTTGGCATTACATATTTTGAATGTAAACGGTCAAAATACTGAGATCGTACTATTTAGACCTTCTGACCCTCGTTCTTCTCTTAAGGTTGACCTTGGCGCTCTGGAAAAGTCCAGAACTCTCTTTGATGGCAGTTTTTCATTTGACAAACAAATAAATTCTGTTGTAAGAGCCAGCTCCTTCCAGCTCAGGGCCTTTGGAAAAATTATGAACATTATGTCATCAGCTGACTTTGAGAAAGTGATCCACGCATGCATTTCATCCAGGCTTGACGGCTGCAACAGTCTTTATTCTGGTATCAGCTCTGCTGTCTCATCTGCAGCTAGTTCAGGATGCTGCAGCTCGACTCCTCACAGGCACTCGTAAACACGACTGTTACGTCAAATTGTTGAATGTTGTCATTGTGTTTCTTAAATTTGTCTAAGTTCAAACTATAAGATCAAAGACATTCCTCTCCAGCCACTCTGTGCTGGGGGAGGTTTTATTGCAGATACATTCTATCTGAAAGATCTGTTTCTTGTCTGTAAGTTACTGTAACTAATAACAGGAGATACATGGAGATGCACTTTATCCTCTTTGCTGGTTGATGTAAACAGCCCACAATAAAGCAGGCTGGTTTACATTACTGTCCACAGATTTGTTTTTGTTTCAGCCATTGTTTCACCTTGGAATTAAAAAACGCTGATCTGTTGACATTTAGGATTAGGAAAACAAGAATTGACCAAATAATGTTTGGTGTTTTGGTAGTTAGCAGTGTCCAGGAGCTGCTCTTCTTTTTGTGACTCCTGTGCTGCTATGAAAATCATTCTGCTCACTAAGTCTGGGACAAGGCCATTGATACATGTAAAACTCAGTTTAAAAAAAAAAAAAGAGCGAAAGGAATCACTGGCTCAACAGTGCTTGGACTTTTTGTCAGGCTGGCTACGGTGCTAAAGAGAAACCGTTCATTTTATTCTCAGGTAAATAATACTATGTTCCAGCTTCATGGAGTGCTTTTTTAAAGAGGGGAAACATTTTTTTTCCAACATCAGCTTGTAGTTTAATGTTGGTTTACCCTTATTGCTGTTCTTTAGTTGATTTGACAGCAAATTTGCTTCTGTTTTTCTGGTATCATATCAGTTTCTTTGTGTTGTCTCCTTTTGTCCCTCCAGATGTCCCACAGCAACATGTTCTTAAGAAGGAGAAGGTACCGACTAAGCAGCAGGTCTGTAATCAGGAGAACAACTCCAGTCTGGAACAGGGGGAATCAGAATCTCCGCAGGTTAAGGAGGAACCGGAGGGAGAGCAGCTTGTACTGAAGGAGGAGACGGATACCTTTATGGTGACCACTACTTGTGACAAAAGTGACCAAAACGAAACAGATGGGCAGCGGCTCCTGTTTCTTAGCTCTGCTGTAGCTGAGAACCAAGATCAGAGACGAAGTGAGAAACTCGATTCAGAATCAATTCGATTTACGAACAAAAGTCCCAAGAATGAAAAAGACTCGACAGCATCAGGGAGTAGGTGTAACTCTGATAAAAGTAAAAAGTATTTAAAATGTGATGTTTGTGGAAAGGTATTCCGATATAATTGTGAAATGACAAGACATTATAGAATCCACACAGGCGAGAAACCGTTTTCATGCACTATTTGTGGTAAGGGTTTTGTATGTACTGGCTCTTTGGGGAAGCACAGAAGAGCTCACACAGGTGAGAAGCCTTATCCTTGTACAACATGTGGGAAAATGTTTGCTTATAACAGTGATTTACTGAAGCACCTGAAGACGCACACTGGTGAGAAACCATATCATTGTAAAACATGTGGGAAATCGTTCAGCCGTGACTCTATGTTGACAGAGCACATAAGAACACACACAGGCGAGAAACCGTATGGATGTAAAACATGTGGGAAAATGTTTAACTCTAGAACTCATTTGTTGCGCCACATGAAAACTCACGCTAAGCGGCGCACTATCGATACAAGATTATTGGCTCAGTGAGCTGCTTTGAGCTAAAAGTCAGAGGTTTGTGTCACAAAACTTGCTTTTTAAAATCCGGCTTTAATTATCCTGTTCAGGAATGAATAATTGAAAGAGCTATGAATATAAATATTAATTTAAAGGTCATGGTAACTTAGACTGAACACATAACTTGTTAAAGAGCAGGTAAAGTTGAGAGGTTTAACTGGAATGTGCATGTATTCATTTAGTATGCAGAAAACATACAAGTGTTGTTATACTTGATTCTAATCTGCTGCTAAATCTTTTGCACTAATTTAATTTTAGCTATTAGAAGATGGATCACAAAAACAATACAATGAATTTAGTTTGGAACAAAGTAAAGCAAATATTTTCTTAGGCTTTGGAACTATAAGCTTTAACGTTTAAATGGGTCCAGTTTAAAGTATCAGAGCTCTAGAGAGAGCCACGCGCACACTCTTTTGTCATACTTTCAGCAAGTGTTTTATTGGTATATTTTTTTTATGTTCTCTATAAATTTTTAATCATTTTATTGTCATCTGATAATGGCAGCGTTTATTCTGACTGGGATTTTAGTTTTGTTAATTGCAACCCCCCCTGGCTTCTGCTCCGCGGCTGCTGAGTGAGCCCTCATCTGGGACTCTCCTCAGCTCTTTCTGGGACAGTGGCGCGGCTGCCCCTCTGTTGGTCTTCCTTGGTCTCTTGTGTTCTGGGGGCCTCTGGATGTCTGGAGTTTTGATCTCCTCCATACCTGCTTCATGCCCCGGAGGACGGGGCTGTACCCCCCCCCACACACACACACACACCCTCTAACAGATCATTACATGAAGGAACCTTTTAAAAAACAAAAAACAAGCGCGTCCATGCTCACAGGTGTACACACGGGTGATCACACCCACAAACTACACCCTTTTTGGCTCCTACCTCAAAGCAGACTGTGTGCTGTTGATCTTATGTGCTGCACAATAATGTTTAACATTTAGTATTTACTGTCATATTCCCATATATCATTGTGATGTTGTTTATTCTATTACTCTTGTTCTCTTCTGCTTGTTTTCTTTTTTCTTTCTCAGCAGGTGATCCAGGTGATTGATATATGCATGTTTTTTTTCTTTTTTTTTTTCTGCCCGTTCTGTTGGTTTTTGGTTTTTGCCCTTCTCCCCCGTCCCTCTTCTCAGCTGTTTCTCTTTCCCTCTTTCTTTCTCCCCTTCTTTCCCCCAGTCAAGTCTGTCCCATATTCAGTAAGTGAAAATAAAATAAACAATAAAAGGTGAATCAAATGGACCATTATGGCAAGGCTGGGATGGTCAATTTGGTAAAGTAAATCCGTTGGGCATCTTTCTTTGCCTTTAGACAACAATTCTGATGCAAAAGAGCCAAACGGGACAGGCCAAAAAAAAAAAAAGTTTTGTTAATTTAGTTTATATAAAGCAAGTCTGGTCGTGTTAATCTCCATTGATAGTATATGCTTTCTTTTTCTGAGGAGGGGGGGTGCTCTGTTCCGGCAAACTGAAATCTAGGAGCTGTTTCTATGTTTTTCCATCTACAGCTTAAACATGATGCTGTCCACTGTGGTGATGATGTGGCTGCCAGACTATCAGAGTCAACCAGTTACACTTTCACCTGTGGTCAATATAATCACTATTTAGAACAACATCCATGTCTTTGGACTGTGGGAGGAAGCTGGAGTACCCAGACAGAACATGCAGACTCCACACAGGGAGGCCTGAGCCAACCAGGACCTTCTTACTGTGAGGGGATGGTGCTAGCCACTGCACCACCGTGCTGCTAGTTTCTTTTTGAATATATAAAAGATGTTTGTTTTTGTTTTAATTGAGATGGCCTTTATATTGATATTTGTTTTCTTTATTTAGCTCATTTAGTGCATTTACATTAATTTACTGGTATTTTTAAGTTGCTTAAGAATCTAGACTTTCTGTGAGAACCCCAGGTTTGGTAGGCAGGTATAAGTGTACAATTTTCATTTGTTGTTCTGCAAGTATTAAATAAAGCATTAAACCTGTATTTATACTCTCCTGTACTATTCTTCACTTGTAAAGTTCTGTACATAAAATAAGTTAAAAACAATAGAATAACAGAAAACAGCAAAAGTAAATAAATAAAACACATAATACATAAAAATTAAAACAGCCCTATACTAAAAAAAAAACAAGACAAAACTGCGTAGAAACAACTAAAATAAAACAAAAAAATAAAAACCAACATCTCACGTGGTGTCAAAGGCCAGGGTAAAGAGGTGGGTTTTCTGGAGTGACTTAAAAACAGGTAGGGAAGTGGCCTGTCTAATCTCTAAAGGGAGTCGTTCCACAGTTTGGGAGCTGATACAACAAAAGCACGATCTCCTCTAAGTTTACACCCAGTCCTGGGTACATTCAGGAGGAGCTGATCAGCTTACCTGAGAGAGCCGGTAGGTGTATAAGGCTGTAGCAGCTCAGAGAGATAAGATGGGGCTAGGCCATGCAGAGCTTTAAAAGCAAATAGAGGAAGTTTAAAATGAATCCTAAAAGAAATGGGCAGCCAGTGAAGTGAAGCTAAAATAGGGGAAATGTACTCAAACTTTTGAGCGCCCGTTAAAATAGTAAATGGCCTGCATTTACTATCTATAAAGCACTTTACACTACATTCAGTCATCCACCCATTCACACACACATTCACACACTGGTGATGGCAGCTACATTGTAGCCACAGCCACCCTGGGGCGCACTGACAGAGGCGAGGCTGCCGGACACTGGCGTCACCGGGCCCTCTGACCACCACCAGTAGGCAACGGGTGAAGTGTCTTGCACAAGGACCAATGACCGAGACTGTCCAAGCTGGCAACCTTCCGATTACAAGGCGAACTCCCAACTCTTGAGCCACGATCGCCCACTCGGGCGATACAGACTGAAATATATATTACAAGATTAAAGAGATTAAACAAGAATATTTCAAATACACAGTAAAGATGAAAAAACAATATTTACAGTTGTTCACACAGGATTAACCTGATTGACCTGTTCCTGGATGATTTCTTTTACAACTGTAATAGATTACAGGAAGCCTCTGGCAGTGTTGCTGAATCTGCCCGAGCAAGATCAGACGTGGATGGGCTGCTGCAACTGAGACCTGCGGTTGGTCTTTCCTGGTCGGCGAGTGGAGAATCACACAGGGTGGTCTGCAAAGATATTTAGTTTATATATTTTATATGATACAGTACATGTGTAAGAATGACCGATGTTGTGCCAAAAACTGATTTCTGGTTTTTGCCCTAAACTGATTGCTCATATTTAACCTGCTATAAATAACTTGTTGGTCTATAATACGTGAAACATGTCAAATGTTTCCCTCATTAATGACATCACGTCACTTTGAGCCACCAGGAACATTCCTGTAACAGGTAGAAGCTGCAATCAGTTTTTGGCAGTGACTTTTATATATCCTTTATTTATCCAGTTCACAAACAATCTTGTTGACATTACAAATTTATTTTTTAAGTGTAATCTGGCCAAGCGGACAGCAGACAGCGCAACAAATGTATCAACTGTACCTACATTATAACCAGTTATAAAGATACTTGAACAACAGGTAGTTATTGTATATATAAAACCCCTCTGTAAACCATGTTCACCAACACTTATTTACCGACATACATGAAGATATTAAACACGGAAACATTGGAAATCAGTTTTGGCAGGCAAACACTTTTTTGGCACAACGCCGGCTTTTAAGACCAGCGATTCAGGGTCATTTGGTTGAGCCCTAATTTTATGCTTTAGCAAAAAGGAAAGTTTGAAGTCTAATCTTAAAAGTAGAGATAGTGTCTGTCTCCTGAAACCAAACTGGAAGCTGCTTCTCTGTCGGTACTCTTGGTGCAGCATTTTGGATCAACTGCAGGCTTTTCAGGGAGTTTTTAGGACAACCTGAAAATAATGAATTACAGTAGTCCCACCTAAATGCATGAACTACTTTTTCAGCATCATTCTGAGACATGATGATTCTAACATTAGAGAAACTGTAATAGACCTCAGAATAAAGAAACTATGCAGTCTCTCTGCTGCAGTCCTTCTCCTCAGCATCAGGCTGGTTGTGCTTTAAATCCTGCAGACAGAAATCATCTCATTGGTTGAGTTCAACACCAGTGGGTGGAGCCAAAAACATTATCAAGCCTGGAATTTAAATCTGTGTCAATGTATGTAGCACTCTTGAAAGAACAGAAATGCTTTTAATATGAAAATGTCACATTTGAACGTTCCTGCAGTTGGTTTGTGGTTGATGTGGATCTGCTGCTCATGTGAATCCTCCCACAGTGTTTCATTAGCAGCTGTAACCACAGTGACTCTGATAAAACAGGAATTAGCAGAATCCATCTGATATGAAGCTGTGCTTTGAATACCACTTCCCTCCTCTTTGAAGAGTAGTCAGATATCTGTGTTCAGGTTTTTGTACAGCCTCTTCTACACTTTGTATCACTGTGTTTGTAGAGCACAGTAGTAGAGAGCTGTGTCTGCCAGGGTTAGGGCTGCTATGGTCAGATTAGTTGATGAAGAAGATGTTTCTGAGTCATATCGATTATCAGGAATATATTCATAACCACTGAAGTCTTTGGCTCCTTTCCAAAGTATAAACTGAGGAGCCTGAAGGTCAGAATCATGTCTGTACCAGTAAAGGCGTACATACTCTGATGTTGTCTCATAGCTACATGTGAGTTTGACAGATTCTCCTTCTGTTTTAGTGACTTCAGGTTGTTGAGGAGTGATTGAGTCTCCAGCTGTTAGTCCTGGAAAAAGAAAGAAGAAAAGTAGTGAAATGCAGTCTGTATATCTGCTTAATGCAGCAGCTTCAACTAAACTTTAATCCCTGTTCTTAAACTCACCTATAATGTGAGATAGAAGCAAAAAGAGGTGCAGCAACATGTCTTTGGAGTTATTAAAGCCAGACAGACAGCACATGAACAATGTTCTTCCACTGCAGCACAATGACCAACAAATAATGTCATTGGATGAGCTCAACTTCAATGGGCGGGGCCAGTTTAATAGCTCAGCCAATCAAACAGTTTTGTGCTTCCACAGCAGCTCTGTCTCTGTCTCTGATCTTTACTGCTTCATTTCTCTGTTGTCTTTGTCATCAGTCCAATGACACAAGAATCAGAGGTTTAACAGTGTGTGGCTCCCTCTAGTGGATGTTGTGGAGTATTCTGTTGTCTTTGCTCCAAAGGTTTTTGTGCAGAGTTTTGCTGTTTCCTGTCACTGTGGGCTGCAGAGCACAGTAGTACACAGCAGAGTCAGACAGCTGAAGCTTCTGGATCTTCAGAGGAGCTGATCTGATGCTGGAATCCAGTGTGGATGAAAATCTCTCCTTGAACTCGTCTGCTGTGTTTCCTTGATCCCCACTAACACGGCTCAGGATGAATTTGGGGCTGTTGTTTCCATCCTGTTTGTACCAGAAGAGATAAATAGTTGTTGTAATGCTGACGTTATAGAGACAGCCAAGTGTCACTGTGCCTCCTGCAGCAGCAGTCTCTTCTCCTTTTGCTTGCAGCACGT